ACTTTGTGTTGATATCAGTTCTCAGATGGTGGTTGCGAAAGCACCCATCTAGTACAAAGCCATCCATTTTCTTGAATGTGTGGGATGGGAATATTTTACTGGACATTAACAAAGTACCCCGTTTGCAAAGACTCACCACACAATCAAAATCAACTTTTCACATGATCATTAACAAAGTCTATCCGGGACAGCATAATGAATGTATTAATACATGTAACCATTATTTTAATAGAATGTGATAGCAGAGAAGCAGCACTGAAACAGGAATATGTCTGATATTTACCAGGGATGTGTACCAACATAGCTGCAGAGCACCCAAACAAAAATCCCTTATACATACAGTAAATCCTAGGATGTCAATCACAATCAAGATGATGCATTAAAAAAAAAGGCAGAGAGAATCAATTGCAGGGAAAACGATACAATATAGCAGCAGCAGGAAATAAATATGCAGACAAAAAGATGAACAAGTGGAGCCCAGATCCATATTAACCTGTGACCAATGTAATCAAAATCAGTTCAGAAAAATAATTAGCAACAATGTGTTTCTGCATACTGCTGAAAATAATTGAGGCCAAAACAATGTATTAATTTAATTATATAAAATTGACACAAAGAAAATCAAAGCCCTTTGAGCAATTAATAAAAAAAAGTTAACTAATAATATATTATAATAAAAAGAAATATTTGAAATGTGTAATGTAGTGGCAATAATGAAATGTAAGAAAGGGTAAATATTCTGTAAAGATGTGATAGTACAAATATAGTAAAATTGTATGCTAAGATCAATATAATACCAATATTATAAAGGTGACAGTGAATTGATTGATACGTGTATAGTGTGCCAGATAATGTGTATGAGTGCAATGTTGTGATAAAATGAAAATGGTGTTGTCTATTAAAATTATAAATAGAAAATCAGATTGATCGAAAGGTAAAAAAAACAGTATCATGAATAATTAAAATGGGTATAATATATAGTGTAATAAAACTAATTGTAATGAAAAACTTACATCAAATGTATATCAGAAAAATCAGAAAAAGAAATAATGTAAAAATACTAATAATGAATCCTAGCTCATTGAACATGGGATCTAAATGAACCTTTCAATAGTTTTATTATACCATTAGGCAAGAACGTATTAATTCTATAAATCCACATGTTCTCTATGCAACATCATCTTTGGTATCTATCATGACCAAAAATGTTTGGAATGAACTCAAATGATGTAACATTAATTTTGGAAGAATCTCTGTTTTTGTGTATGGAATAGTTTATAGAAACACTTTGTGTTTGAAAACCCAGAGTTTGATTGGTGTTTGTTTAATCTACATTTTATTTTGTGTACAGTTCTTCCCACATAATCCTGGATCTTTTGTTCAGCTAATTTTTTTTTTTCTTTAGCAATCAAGTTTCCTCTTGTTTTAACTCACCTAAAAATAAACCGTAACTTTTTAGGATCGTTGTTCATGAAAAGCAGATCTTGAAGTAATAAATACCAGTAGCTGCTTAAGATGTCTCTAAATAGGTTAATGTTGTGAATTGTAAATTTTATTGAAAAGTACTTTGTAAGTCTCTCTCATCTCCATTACTAAATATTTTCAAAACTGGGCATTGATTTTGTGCATGGTCTGGACAAAAGGTGGCAGAAGGGACAGTTGCATTGGCACAGTGTATTTGCAGGGTGGGGGTGCAAAGAGTACTGTTGGTATGCTCTAGATAAATATGTAATATACTCTCAAGCATAGTAAAAGAGCACTGAAAAACAGTGTGGGTTAAAAGTTGGTGGGGTGGCATGGGGGCATGGATTGCATGGAATGAGCCTAGGTCTGTCTCGTATCATTTGCCTTAACTACAGCAGCAGCAGGTATGAACTGCAGTGATAAGTATACCAGTGGTTTTGAAGCTGGTCTGGGAGTTGGGCAATGTGCTGCTGAGTACCTACCTGCAGCTCCTGTACATCTGGCCTGTTATCAATAAGAAGCTGACCAAATACCCTTACACTCTCAGATGGCTGGGTTTGTTGTTGCAGGCTTAGAAGTCATGTATTCCATATATTCCAATACTTGATCCTCTTTTTCATCATTTTACAGTGTAAAGTATTTGGTTGTTCAACCATAAGTAATTTGGATTCATGAATATTAACAATTTATCATGTGTTGTCACTATACATTTGTTCTTGGTACTGTTATTTTTTGTGTGGGGCTTCTGGTGACATAAACAACTGAAAACTTTGTAGCTTGTAGAAGTGAATTAAGGTTAAAAATGTCCTACTAGTTGTATCACCCGTCCCCCCCTCCATCTTCCTTTATATTTACCTAATCTCTATCTTGATCCAGCACTGGTGCCCATGTGGAGTGGCACTGACCTCTTTCTCCTAACAGGTTCAGAGACATCAGCGTGAGCCATTGGCTCCTTCTACTGTCAATCAACTCCTGTGAGGAGGGTGCTGGGGGTGGGGCTAAGCTGTTCTGTGTGTGTTAGTGAACACACACAGCCAAGCTTGGGAGCAAACCCTCAGGTGTGTCACCATAGGAATTGGCACACAGAGAAGAGGAGCAGCTGAGAGAGCTGGTGGGGGACCCCAGAAGAGGAGGTTTCGGGCTGATTTGTGCAATACCAGGTAATTATAACATGTTTATTATGTTAATTAAAAAAATACCCTTTACAATGACTTTAACATGTAATGTAAATGAGCTGTAGAATTGAATTGTGACCCCTGTGTCTCTTGCTCTACTGTCCCTGATCAGCTTTGCTTCCTAGTGCTTAATGGCTTGGGCTACAGGGCATTTGCTTCAATTCTCTCTATTTTTTATATTTAATAACTATATAAATACAGTATACGTATATTTTATATATACATCTATAACTTTTGAATTAATGGTCATCTATTTTATTACTGCTCTTGCACCTTTGATTCCTTTGAGGATAGAGTTAATAGTCATGTGAAAAGCTGATATTAATTAAGTGTGGGGGGGTCTTTGTAAATAAGTTGTGTTTTCAATTTCTTATTGTGATACTCCTGAAGAGGGAGTGATGTTACGCTCTGAAATGCTATTATATGTCTTTTATTGATCTTGAGTTCCTACTTGGTCTCTTCATGGATTCGAAACTTGTGAGCAACTAAACCCCAAGGACATTTTCAATGTATATTGATTTTGCTGTGGATTTCCAGTGCCCGGCTATCTTTCTAAATACAATACACATTCATGTAAAAGGTGAATTTATAGATTGATATATTGAGGAATTCCACTAAACCAGAGAAATTAAAAGCTAGGTTTCTATGGCATACAGTACTTGTGATCCTGGCCATTCAGTAAGGTGAAGATGTTTTGCTGGATACTAGTTTTGGAACTACTGATACTTTTAGAGGCACCTTTGATATCTGTATTTTTCAGCAATGCAGCACAAAGCATGGGAAGCATGAGCAAAGTTCACCTTCAGGGAGCCCACAGGCAATAATGATGATTAGTCTACTGCCAGACTTTTTTAGGCACAGCTTCCAGAGTGCCGTTCTGTTGCATGACTTTCAACGATGTACTTTGATCATACAACGTACTACTCCATATGTGGTGATGATGTTTGTTCAATTCCACCAAAACATTTTGAGACAATCTCTGTCTATATAAGTACAACAGGATACTGGTCAAAGCATATCAGCATCATTTATTGTCTTTATATAATAATCTTCACTAAGTACATGAATAGTTGTTGGTTTAATAGCAAAAGAATAAAACATGGGAAAAATATCTTTAGTTTTCAAGATATATACACTCAGACAGAGAACTATATAAAAAAAAAAGTAGATGCTTGTTTCTGAGGAAAATAGCATTTTTCAATAGAAGAGTAAATAAAGCATTGCCAAGAACCCCCTGCTGTCCTACATAAATGTACTTTTCATCTGCAGTCTTTGCAGGCTCCTTATTGAAATGATAACTGCATATTTATCAGCACAGGTTAACAAAAATAACTTAAATCATAAAGTCTACTTAGAATGAGTTAACTCATACCAATGAATGCACTAGATGACAGACAATGACATAAAAATAACACAACCTGGGAAAGCTGGTATAATAACATCTTGTAAAGGAAAGTGCTTGTTCAGAAGAGTTTAATATGACATTTTGTCAGCAAAAATTGTTGGGTAGAACTACTCGATTTATTGGTGAATAGATGTGTAAAACAGCAGGCTTTCCAATATATTCCTCTCCTGTCTCCAGGTATATGCAACTCTGATATTATCTCAGATGGGTTGAAACTGAGATTATTTTCTGTTTTTTGGAGTGCTCGAAGATCACATTTCATCCCAGAATTAATAAACCTTTGGTTATTTTAAAGTAAACCTGTAATTATTTTTTCTTGAAGCAAGTAAGCAAGCAGTGCAACTGTACTGAAGACATCTTGCGGTGTTATCTTTACAATGTCTGTATAGTCCTTTAACCACTTGCCTACCGGGCACTTATACCCTCTTAAGTACCAGGCCAATTTTCAGCTTTCAGCACTGTCGCACTTTGAATGACAATTGCGCGGTCATGCAAGATTGTACCCATATGAAATTTTTATCATTTTTTTCTCACAAATAGAGCTTTCTTTTGGTGGTATTTAATCGCTGCTGGGCACTTTACTTTTTGTGCTATAAGCAAAAAAAGTGCAAAAAAATTTGAAAAAAAAAAAAAAGTTTCTTTGTTTCTATTATAAAATTTTTCAAACAGGTAATTTTTCTCCTTCACTGATGTGCGTTGATGAGGCAGCACTGATGGGCACTGATAGGCGGCACTGATGGTCACTGATAGGCAGTACTGAAGGGCACTGATAGGCGGCACTGATAGACGGCACTGATAGGCAGCACTAATGAGGTGGCACGGATAGGCTGCACTGATAGGCAGCACTAATGAGGTGTCACGGATAGGTGGCACTGATATGCGGCACTGATTGGTGGCACTGATAGGTGACACTGATAATGGGTACTGATAGACAGCACTGATAGGTGGCACTGACATCACTGCTGGGCACTGACTGGCGGCACTGACTGGCACAACCGCTGACTGGGCACTGACTGGCAGCACTGCTGGGCTGCAGCACTGATGGGTGGCACTGGTGGGGTGGCACTGGTGGGCACAGGTGGGTGGAACTGGTGGGCACAGGTGGGTGGCACTGGTGGGCACAGGTGGGTGGGCAAGGTGGGTGGCACAGGTGGGTGGCACTGCTGGGCACAGGTGGGTGGAAACAGGTGGGTGGCACTGCTGGGCACAGGTGGGCGCACTGCTGGGCACAGGTGGGCGGAACTTGTGTGTGGCACTGCTGGGCACCGATCATTAGGGCACTGATGATCAGTGATCCTGATGATTGGTGCCGATCCCCGCTCTGACAACTGCCGTTTTTCGGCAGCACATTCCCCACGCTCTGACAGCGTGAGGAAAGTGCAGCCGAGAACCGGCATTTGCATTTCCCGGGGATCAGCGTGTCATTGGACACGGCTGATCACGTGGTAAAAGGCCGCTGTGATTGGCCTTTTACCACGTCACATGATCAGCTGTGTCCGTAGGACACAGCGATCACGGAGATCGCCGGGTGCGCCCCCGGGGGCGCACAGGAGAGCACATTCTGGGAGGACATCATATGACGTCCACCCAGAACTGGCCGGCCGCAGTGCAACCGTCATTCGGCTATCTGCGGTCGGCAGGTAGTTAATGCTGGAGACCCCCATATATTGTATGCAAATGCTGACTTTCACAAAGTCATAATTTCCAAAGGACTAGGCACCTCTCTGCCCCCACAAGCACTAAACCTCTTTTCATTCATTTTCATAAAAGGCTGTAGGTAAATAATACAAACATTGTAACCAAAAGGAGGGGATTAGAGATAAAAGAAAAAGTGAGGAGGGGTTGGGGTATTAGGTTGGTAAATAAAAAAATACAGAAAGAGCATCAAACCAAAGTAGGAAAAAAGGGCAACATTTTAATTCTTGATACAAAAGTCATATAAAAATTCAATGTGTTTCAGGGGCAACACCACTCCCTCTTCATCAGCACTCAACACAGGATTAAAGCAACTTGACAGCAGCTGCACATTTTTGTATGACTTTTTACCAATGAATAAAATCATCTTCTATCCAATTTTGATCTGGTGCTTCTTTCTGTATTTCAATGGTTTAAGCTACTGCTGGGGGTCCAATGAAGGAAGCCTTGTTGTGTGGAAGCTCCTTCCCCAGAGCTATTGGGCTTGTTTGAAGTTTTCTTTCATCTAACTGCACTTGCAAGCCTAAAAGTTCCCAGCACCTGTTTGAGTATGTTGTTCTGGATGGTGGTAAATATGACAGGGATCCCTCAAAATGTTAGGGGTAGAAGTATAAAATTAAAAACAAACTGATAGGTAGTTGGGATGTCAAGAGATTTTGGAATAAATGGGAGGTCTTGAGCATGGCCCATCCCAACCACATGAGCTGAAAAAAATCTAACATGTCAGAGTCTCCTGCTGTCAGGTTCTCTATATGCATCAAGTCATTCATAGTTCTGGCCCAGGCTGACAGTTGTGGTGAAAAAACAGAAGGATAAACACAGCTCCTCTAGAGTGTAAGCTGTATGACAGCTTTAATGTTAAAAAGGTAAATTTAACAACTCACATCTTCAAAATGACAAACAGGCTCATATAGGTTGGATGTGCAGAGCGCCTCATCACCAGGTGGTAAACCACAGTGTGGATAAATGTAGGCTGGACAGTGGGGAGCACTGGAGAGGAAGAGGAGCACCAGATGGTGAAGCCTAGCTGGTTCACTGTAGAGTCTGGAGCGACGGCAACGGTGTCTGATGTCATAGGAATGCAACGCATTTCTGAGCATGCGTGAGGTCTGATGTAGACTGGCGTGCTCCTTCATCAAGCTGTGGCAGTTGTGTTAAGGTGACCATTTTTTACCTGTCTGGGATATTGTGGATGCTACTACTAAACTCTGGGGTTTATTTACTAAAGCTGGAGAGTGTAATATCAGGCTCATTTCTGCATAGAAACCAATCAGCTTCCAGGTTGTATTGCCAAAGGTTAATTGAACAAGCTGAGTTTGAAAGCTGATTGATTTCTATGCAGAAGTGAGCCTGATTTTGCACTCTCTAGCTTTAGTAAACAGTGTCTCAAGATATCTCTTTTATGGATTACAGAGAGCCTGACAATACCAATAATAATGCTACTTCTATGCCCTTTATATTTGTTGATTGCAGTTCAGTATATACTTGGAAGACCAGGTACCAAAATAGTTGGATTTTTGGGGCAGCTCCATGAGGTGTGGAGATAACTCCATTGTTCTTGGTGGCATATGACAGTCCCTGTCCCTATATGACATTATTTAAGCATCATACTGTATATGTAAGTAAAGGTGTCCAACAAATATCAAAGTGAGGGTAGTTTGAAAGCTAATGACAAGAATAACAGAGATATTTACAGCATATATTTTATGTTCTTGGAATTGTAGGCAGCACGCATCCACATAAACAATTAAACACTTTTCCCAAAATACAACTAAATAATTAGACACCAGACAGTATTATGGCAAGAAAATGCCTGCTGCAGTTTATTGGTTTACAAAAATTATCAGATAATGAACAATGAAGAATTTAATAGTCCATCAAATGTACATAATGAAAATTAGCTTAGTTATCAAAACTCAAGCTGAATTAAATAGACTATCTGAACAAAACATTCCCCCAGAATCCAGGGTGATGGAAAAGCACATACAGCAACTGTGACAGGACAGGAGGGAGGGGAGCTCTTATGTCAAAATTCATCAAATTGCCAGAATGAGATCCTGCTGCTCTTTATATACCAATCTCAAGACTTTCCAGAAAGATCCAATAAATCCCATTGGATTATTTTTTACCTCAACTCGGCATTCCATAAATTTAAGAGACAGTACACCCAAAAATAGCAATATTCACAGAATATATTAGATAGGTTTGCCTAAGCAGAAAAAAGGTGGGGAGCGGTGGCCACAAGCACATGAAGTGGGCCCAAAGTGTTGTGTCCACTATAAGCAATCTTTTTCAAAGACTTCATTGTTAATAATTTTGGGACACTTCCACTCCTGGGAATGTCCCTTGAAATCAAGGACCATTAGCTATTATGGCCTTAGTAAACAGGGCAGTAATTCTATTTGATTTATTTATTTTTTAATTTGCTTCTTTTATTTCATAGCTATCTGCGTTATGTTTAACTGTATTAGGCATCCCATGGTGACACTTTGATTCTATTTCATTGTTCAGCAGTGGTACTTTTATGATGATAATACTATAAAGGGACAATACCTGCTCATTAAATATGAGCATATTGTAGTCATCATGCATAGTGTTTGTTGGCTTCCTTACCTATATTGTGCAGATTTCCTCATCATTCCTTGCAGCCACAATAGGAAGTGTTGGTGAAAATAAAAGGCTGACTCTTCCCAGAACCTGTCAGGAAGTGTATGTGACCAGGGACAGCTCTGTGTCTCTCTAACAAGTTCTACCTTTGTTGCATGAAGAGATTTCATTCCCAATCGTTTAGCTATTCCGCTCACAAAATTAACAAAAGACATGATTCCCTTGGCTACTGTTCACTTTTATGATTCTGAGACTCCCAGTCTTACTTCTTTTTATTCAACTAGTGTTTGGACACACAATCATTAAAGTGATAAGTTTTACATTTACACCTCATTAATTCTGCTTGATTCAAAACAGGAGTGCTGCTTGTGTTTGAATTACAGAGTCTATAACCAAGACTGAAACCTCCTGCCCAGAATTTATGGCATCAATCCAATTAGAGAACCCCAAGAGGCCTATACATCAACAAGAAAATGCTCAGGCTTTGTGCTCCAAAGAGGAAGTGGTGTAATATCACAATGTAAGATATACTTCTGGTAGACCCAGGTAGACATTAATGCTCAGAGGCAGCTGTTGCAGCTTTCTTTAGAATACCACATTGAATATTGAGAAACAGTAGCGTTTTGAGTCAGGTGTATGTTGCAGCTGCTCAGAACTCATGTAGGTACCCCTTTATAATACATTTAATATTACTTTTTTTTTCCAACAAATATACCTATGCTGCAGTAATGTATTAGGTGTCAAGCAAAATAAAAAAGATATTGGGTATTAAAATTAAATGAATGTTATAGCAGAAGATACAGTATATACCCAATGGTAGATTAGTATAGGAATAATTTTGTTGGAAGCCATAGTCCATAACTCTAAGGAGGTCCAAATGTTTACAATTTAAACATATGGAGGATGCATGAATACATTTGGAGCGGAGGGCTCAGAGTATGTATTTAGACCCTAATACTTGGAAATATGTTCCTATTTTTGCATTAGTGTTGGAACACTTCATTATTCTAATGAATTCTGATAAATCAATTTAGGATTTATGTTGATTTCTATTCAACTGGCAACTCTAGCATTTGCCTGGGAATATTTATAGGCTGGTATGATTTACTATGAATTGCAAAACTTCAGCCAATATATTTTTAATACAGTGGGGAAATTCAAGTGCAAAACCAAATGAGTAAAAACAATCAGTGAACTGATAGTGTATTCCAGGGAGAACTGCAACTGTGTTAATGTCAGAGGACTGATTTATTAAAACTGGTGTTATAGGGAATCTACTAAGCACAGAAACCAGTTGGGATTCATTTAGGAAAACAGGACCAGAAGAAGACACGGTGTATTTGGTTGAGTCCCATGATAAATCTAAAGTTTTGCTTCAGTCTACATTTTTTTATCTCTGATATGTGTTTTAAATAACTACTTACAGACAGATTCCTCAAATTTCCTTAAAGCAGAGTTCCACTCACCTGTCAAAAAATAAAAGTCAGTAGCTACAAAAACTGTAGCTGCTGACTTTTAACCACATGCCGCCCAGCCACTGTAGAAATATGGCGGCAGGGCGGCACGGCTGGGCAAAACCACGCTTTAAAACGTGTGCGCGCCACCGCCCTACCTGTCCCGCCGATCACGGCCACGGATGTCAGTCGCCGGGTCACAGCCATTCGTTATCGTCTGTGTCCCGCTGATTAGCGGCAATCACCGACAGAGAGTAGGGCTGCAGTAGCTCTGCTTTCTGTCAGTTCCCTGACAGCTCCTGACATGCTGAGAGAAGAGTGTATCTCTCCCGATCAGCTGTCCCCCGTGCAGTACACACCCCCGCCCCCTAGTAAAACACTCCCCTCACACAGTTAACCCTTTCAGTAAATAAAAAAGTTAACCCCTTCCTCCCCAGTGCCATTAGTACAGTGTCAGTGGGTTTTTTTTTGCAATGATCACTGTATTGGTGTCACTGGGGATGTCAGTGACCCCAAGTCAGTTCCCCCCCAGTGTCAGAATGTCCGCCGCAGTCCTGCAGTCCCGCCATAAGTCGCTGATCGCCGCCATTATTAGTATAAAAAAAAATTAAAAATCCCAGTATCTTTCCCGCCATTTGTAAACGCTA